GAAGACAACACTGTGGAAAAATACGGACATTGACCAGTCTGAGTCAAAAAGATGGACAAATACTCAATTCTAAATGTGAGGAATTTTTAGGAAAACCTTGAGCAGTTAATTTTGCTTGTTTCCCTTTCTATGTGTATATGAATGATAAATGAAAAGTCTAAAAGAACTCCTTTAATAAGCCTAAGATAAATGCTAAGTGGTAGAGTACTGTGTCATATCTTATTTGGCATTTTTTTTAGTGCCACGTAAAGTACTGGTGTTTAGCTTTGAAATGCTCTTATCCTCCTGCTTCCAGCTCTGTCTACACCTCAGAAGGAGCTGGGTCCTTTCCCAGAGTCTGTTGTATAAATTAACCTTCTTCCTGTAGTCACTCTATGTCCATCCGTTTTCCCAGCCACTTTAATTTTGTTCTCTTTTTCCTTTCCCTTGTGCTTGTAGGTTTAAGTCTTAAAAACAAGCCAGGTATTATTGTTTATAGTGGAATTTTCAGTAGGAGTGGAGGTTAACCTGTACATCAATCTAGTAGGAATATTCATTCAGTCACTCAAGGGATGAGCTTATGGAAAAGTTACAAAAGTAGTAGCATTCCCTTATATTCCTCACCCTGCTCCCTTTATGTTAGCTTTTTATATAAGGGATCAAGAATAGGAAATTAATCTTGGTACAGTATTATTAACTAAACTACAGAGCTTATTTGAATTCCATCAGTTTTTCCACTGGTGGTCTATTTCTGTCCTAGGATCCTCTCCAGGATCCCATATTGCATTTAGTTATTATTTCTCCTTAGTCTCATCCAGTTTGTAATAGTTTCTTAATCTTTAATGACACCTTTGAAGAGTACAGATCAATATTTTGTAGAATGTTCCTCAATTTGTATTTGTCTGATGTTTACTTATGGATAAGGTTGTGCATTTTTGGCAAGAATATAATGATGCATATTTTTCAGTGCATCATATCAAGGAGTTAATGATGTTTATGTGTCTTGTTACTGGTGGCATTTACCTTGATTCCTTGTTTAAGTTGCTGTCTGCAGGGTTTTTCTACTGTAAAATTATTACTTTTTCTCTTTGAGGTTAAAATATCTTGGGGGAGATGCTTTGAGACTACGCAGATATCCTGTTTATCCTCAGATTTTTGTCTATTGATTTTTTTCATTCTTTGGTGGAACACTATATCATAGAGTATTTGTGACAAATATTTGATTAACAGAAATAAAGCTATGGCCTACAAGAAGCAAATATCAATTACACTGAAATCCTGTTGTATTGGTTAATACAACGCTAGTAGCTGTGTTCCTCAACTTTCAGGAGCTTAGCACAGCAGATGCTTTTCTTCCCAATATGGGCATTTCTGGTTGTGTAGGCAGTTTTCTGTCATGTTAATTCAAGGATCCAGACTAAACTTTTTGTACTGAAGTAACTTTAAACTGACAGAAAATAGGGATGCAAGAATAGTACCAGGAAATCCTGTATACCCTTTACTAGATTTACTTAACATTTGCTACATGTGCCCTATTTTCTTTCTGTCTATTCATATATGTATATGTATTTTATACATCTGTATTTATATATTGATTGCCACATACTAAATCACTTGAGATTAGATCACATACATCATGTTCTTCTATGCCTTAATAGTTTAAACTTAATATATTTATTTGTTTAAATCTGGTATACACATAGTTTCAGAATTGCTAACCCATATCTGTTTGAGAAACACTTTCACTAACTAGATTACAGCATTTATACGTTCTTTTATTCTTTAGTTTTGCAATATCCAGTCAAGGTATGATTTTCCAGTTTCCCACTGAAGTATTAAGTTTGAAAACTGTACATAAGCACACTGTTATTCAAATTTAGGAAATTTAATATCAGTACTTTAGTATGCAGTCCGTATTCCAGTTTCATTAATTATCCCCAATATGTTCTTCAGTGGAATATTTTTTTTCTCCTGATACAGTATCAAGTCCAGGATCACATATTGAATTTATTTGTCATGACTTTTTAGTTTCCTTTGATCTGGAACAGATCTTATAAGCTTTTCGTTGTCTGGAATACTGCATAAGTGACATGTCCTTCTCAGGTAATGCATCAGGAGGCACATGATGTCTCAACCCCTCATTGGTGATTGTAATTTTGATAATTTGGTTAAGTTACTGTTTTCTTAAGTGTAAACTATTTTTAGATATGACGTATCAGAGTGATCAATACTGTGAAGCCTTTTACAACAGTGTTTAGATTGAAAAATTATGAGTGAAAAGGCTTTCACAGTCATTCGGATTGAATATGCCTAACATGAAATCCAAACTGTTTTAACCTTTCTTTCAACTTATTTTCCACCATGGAAATAGTAATGCATGATTTAGCCATTCATGAGTTTTATTTTCTCATGCAGGCATTTATTTCTTTAAAAAAATTTAAAGTTTACTGTAAAACTTAAGTTTTAACCATTTTAAGTGTACTCTTCAGTGGCATTAAGTACATTCGCAATGTTGTGCAACCATCACTACCATCCATCTCCAGGACTTCTTCATCATCCCAAACATAAATCATATCTACTAAACAATAACTCCCCAATTCCTTCTCCACCCCCTGGTAACCTCATTTTATATGCCATCACAATATTTTAGAATAAACACCAACTTCCTGGGGTAAGATCATTTGACTTTTGCTCCCAGATCAGAACTATGATAAAAAAATATTATTTGCTATATACTAACAGGGCAATTTCTGGATTTTGGCATGAATTACTATATTACAACTCTAAATCCTGGTAAGGGAAGCATTTTTGTTCTGAAAGTAAACAAAAATAACCATTAGTTTGATAATCTTTACCTCTGGGGGTGGGGTATTTTGGAGGGGGTGAGTACAAAGAGAGGTGAAATTATTCCTCTAGGGTGGCAGACCAGAGTTTAAATTGTTTCTTATGTTTTTCACTTTGGTTGTCTACCAATTGGATATAGTCACTCAGATCATCCATGTTTTCGTACCTGGCTTGATAGGTATAAATACCTATAAATTGGAATAAATTCCAGCAGTTAGAGGCCCATGTTCCTTGGTCTGTAAAGTGAACATAACAAAACTGACTTCTCTCCAAAGGGTGCTTTGAGACAAAACTGTAAAACACTTTGCAGAGTAGAAGGGGGGTCCCTGTTTTTAGTAACATTCCTCAATGTTCTTCAAGAATTCACCTACTGCCAATCATTCCTCTGAGTTAGGAATATATATTAGAACTAGTTTTAATAGCACTGTAAACTGTAGATAGCGTGCCTGGAGCTGAATAAATAACTACAGGTTCAAAAATACTCAAATAATAAAATTGCCTAGGTGGTAACCCACCTAGTTTATTGCTGTGTGGTGTTGGGTATCTCTGTTTTTTCCCTGATGAATTTGAAAAGGCCTTGAAACTGTGGGCAGATTCCTTGGTTCAGATGGGCTGTAATAGGAGACACCAGGATGAGCCTGAGTCTCTTGCTCTTGAAAGATTAGCATATGGATAGATTGCATACCCATTATCAGTTAGGTATCTGCCAGACCGTTTGCAGGGTTTCTCTGTAGTTCATACAGTTGGGAAGAATTCCTAGAGGCAAGAGGTCTTTTACCTGAAGATTCAGCAGTTACTATAGGGGCCTTCTTTTGTCTTCTTGCTCTTGGGACACCTTTACTTGAATGAGGTAGTCTCTTGCCATTAGTGCCTGTAGGGCCTTAATGATTCTTATTGGGATGAGTTAGCCAGAAGTGAGGCTCTTCACTTCATGTTGAAACTAACTTTTGCCTGAGTATTAAGGATGGGTGATTCTGAGGTCCTGAGCCAGCTGGAAGGACCTTCATTCACTTTCTCTTCTTGTCTGAAGAATGCTTAGGCTACCTTACTGTTACTTCTCTGGTGGTATCAAAGGCCATGTAATGACAAGGCTGGATGCGGTTACTCACGCCTATAATCCCAGCACTTTGGGAGGCCAAGGCAGGAGAATCACTTGAGTCCAGGAGTTCAAGACCAGCCTGGGTGACAATGGAAGACCCCTACCTCTAAAAAAATTTTAAAAATCTAGATGGGCATGTTGGTGCACTCCTGTAGTCCCAGCTACTCGGCAGGCTGAGGTGGGAGGATTGCTTGAGCCTAGGAGATTGAGGCTGCAGTGAGCCGTAATCACACTACTGCACTCCAGCCTGGGCAACAGAGCAAGACCCTGTCCCCCCCCCGCCAAAAAAAAAGATGTGATGATTGCCCCTTTTGGTTATATCCTGCTGCCTAAGAGCCCACCCCAGAACTTAGTGGCTTAGGATAACCGTTTTCATAGTTTTGTCAGTGAGGAATTAGGGAAGATGTCAGCTGAGCTCTTCATTTCTGCTCCAGGTGACATTGGTTGGGCACTGGGACTGGAGGTTCTACTTCTAAGATAGCTTCTTCACTCTTGTGAATAGTTCCTCAGTGTCTGTGGCCAGTCTCTCTCCATGTGGTATCTCATCCACCCTGGCCTTTCCACATGCCTTAGCTTCCCACATCATGGTGGTCCCTGGGTAGTTACTCTTCTTACTGAGTAGGGATGAACTGAAAGCCTCTATTCTAAGTTCAGTTAAATATTGCAACAAATATTTAGTACTGGGATTGTGGGGTCATTTTCTTACATCATAATTATAACCCAATCAGGGTAGAAAACTGAAAGAAAGAAGGACACTTCATTTTCTTTGCTCTTTGTGTGGATGATGGGTTGTACAAATAGCAGGAGGTTCAACTTTTGGCTTGTTTTGGATTACTGAGCACCATCCTTCAGAAATGATTTCCTAATACTTTCCCGGCCATCTGGCATGAGCACAGAAGACCTTTTACTCAATAAAAGTAAGCTAATAATAATAAGTTGAAACATCTTGATAATAGATATATTTGTACAGCTTTTCAAATCCCAGGTTATTGAAATTCTGTCAGTCTTGGCTGGTTTCCATGCTCCTTCTGTGCCCTTGTGTTTTCTTTTCTTCTTCTTCTTTTTTTTTTTTTTTGTTGAGCCACTCCTGCTGACTTCAAAAGGATGCTCTGAGCTCTAAAAGGAGGAGCAGTTTTGCTGGGATGCAGAAGTGGTGAACGTAAGGCTTGGATTCAATTATAGTAATCCTCAGAAGTTCTTGGTAGAAGAGGGGCACAGAATCCCAGCCTCCATTTTGCAGGTAAGGAAGAAGTATAAAAAGATAAAACGGCTTTTCTTAATGTCAGCATCTGATTCTTTACCCTCTTTCATCCTAGCAACGATTGTTAACATAAAACAGATGTTCCTTGCACAAGAGAAAAATAATAGAGCTGGATCTTTTCATGATCCTGCATTTATTATTTGTAGCACCGGATCTCTAAACTAGGAAAAGCGATGTTGATTCTAACTAGAAATTATGGGGCATTTAATAACACATGAGGCAAAATTACGAGGAAAGGTGAGAAACCAAGTGGCTCCTAGCTTCTAACACCTTATTTTCTGTGGTGTAAGTTAATGAATGATCCATTTTTAATTCAGTAAAAAAGGAAATTTCTTATAGGCTTTACCTTAACTTCACATTGCTGTTTATATTACAAACAAAATGCTAAAGTTAACAAGTGTTGTAAAATGCCCTAGGTCAGAGTTTTGAGTGCCCATAAGCAATTCTCTAGAATTATTTTGAGAGCTCAGATTATAGATTTGCCCCCATACCATACACTATATTACCTATCACTGCAAGATTCTTTATAGGGTGTCAAGTATGTAGGAGGATTTAAACTAATTGTCTTAAATGCTTCGTGGGATAGGAGATGATCCAATGGGAACTGAATGTTTTCAATTAGGATGTTTCCATGGATACTATTAAGTGTGCCAAGATTCATAGCCACAGGAGATTTTTACTTCAATATTGTTTAAGAAATCTGAGAACAATCTCAAGAAGTGTAGGGTGTAGGTGGAGGATAAATTTTGAGGATAGTATAAAATTTGCTTTCTCTTCCATAGTTAAGGCCTAGTCCAGAAAAATTCTAGGCAGTCAGCCAAGTCTAACAGCAGGATTTATGTCAAGAGAATGTCCAGAATAAAAGTGAACATGAGTTGTTTCATTTACCCCAGGTATATTTATTTATTAACATTTATTTAATGTTACTTATTATTTGTTTATTAACATTAGCTTTCTTATGTACTTGGTACAAAGCGTTAGAATTACAACCCTTTGTATTTTTGTTGTTTATGAGGAAAACATCCTAAATAATGTCTACAGACATCTTAAAATTCACATTCCTCTGAGAAAGGTTTATCCCTTAGGTTATTACTTTTTTTTTTTTTGGTACATGGGTTTTTACCTGGGTTCTCAGATCTCCAAGAAATCAGTGGATAGAATTCAAGGTGACTTCTTGGATGGAGAAAAAGTACATCTTTATTTTGACCAACCATGGATATTTAGCATTTTCATCAATTAATGAATGCAGGTGACAAATCATAGTACTATTGGCCCCACCTTTGAGTTTGTCCTCAATAACTCACAGATATTTTCATATTGTATCACAGCTGTTGCAGATATCTTGAAATATTGTTAATTCTAAACACTACTTCAAAATTTGGGCAGTTATTGGCATTCCCACCAGTTTTTTTTTTTTTGGAGACAGCCTTTCTCTGGCACCCCCAGGCTGGAGTGCAGTGGTGAGATCTTGGCTCGCTGCGACCTCTGCCTCCCAGGTTCAAGCGATTCTCCCGCCTCAGCTTCCTAAGTAGCTGGGATTACAGGCGCACGCCACCATGGCCTGGCTAAATTTTTTTTTTTTTTTTTTTTTAGATGGAGTCTCACTCTGTCGCCAGGCTGGAATGCAGTGGTGTGATATTGGCTCACTGCAACCTCCACCTCCCAAGTTCAAGCGATTCTCCTGCCTTACCCTCCTGAGTAGCTGGGACTATAGGAGCATGCCACCACGCCCAGCTAATTTTTCTATTTTTAGTAGAGACGGGGTTTTACCATGTTGGCCAGGATGGTCTCGATCTCTTGATCTTGTGATCCACCCACCTCGGCCTCCCAAAATGCTGGGCTTACGGGTGTGAGCCACCGTGCCTGGCCACATTACCACCAGTTCTTGATACTTAATGCCGTAACGAAAGGCACATGTATCACTATATCACGAATTAGCATTTTATAATATTTTAATAACTATTTCAGTATAAGTGGCTTCACTTGTAATCATATGTTTTATTTTTGCACTTAAAAATATAATTCCTGAAAGGGATCCATAAGGCTTCACCAGACTGCCAAAGCGTCCATGGCACAGGACATTAAGAACCCTGTGCCAAATGGAATGAAGATTAGAAGCACTATCATATGTTCATTTTCTGATCACAATTTAAGAAAGAGTTTCCTACTTAAGTGCTTTTCACAGAAAATCTAAACTTAAAGGTTAAAAGGGAATTCTTTTGTGCTGGCTCACGTGTGGGCCCTACAAAATACTTTGCAGTCATGTCCGACTTTCGTTTGAGAGTTTGTCTTCAGGTATATGATGGGTTGCATTCTGTAGAACATTGTTAAATCTATGGGAGCGGAGAAAAGTTCCATTCAGTGTCTTGTGGATTGTGGTAGGAGTCAGTCGTATTCTTGCAGAAATTTCCCTAGACAGTGCCTCTTGCTTCCTCCTTTCTTGTCCCACAGTACTCCATGGGGCAGATGTGGGAACTTGGATGCCCCATGGGAACTGTAACCCCATGCTTTGCCTTATCCTAGTGGGGACTGATCTGAGGTTTATCCATGAAACTGTGTCAATTCATGGCTGGGAGTAGGAATGCAGAAAACACAAGCAAAATGACTGCAGGAAGGTTTAAATAAAATCTCATATGTGGCTTTTCCTTAACACATTATTTTGCAAAAAGTGGCAGAGTGAATTTGCTGTGATATGAGAGCATCATTCTAGACTTTTACTTGATTAAGGGCAGCCACTTTATCTTTAAAGCAGTTTTCGTCACCTTTTGGTGTTCTCTAGCAGAATGCTGAAGGAGCACACTTAAGGAGTGGGGAGTTGGTATTTGGTTCTGTGACAGGTGCTATCTTATAACAGAAAAATACATATTTTTGTGAAACTTCAAATGCATTTTTATTCACCAGCAAGTCTGTGACTCTGGATCCACCACCTTGTTCCAAGTGTGATCAAGCACTGTACCTGACAGCATCGATTATCCTTACCTGTAGGCAAAAATTGTATTACATTTATTTTACAGTGATCTGGAAAAAAAAGCATGACAACAAAAACCAGACACACTTTATTTCTATTCTGGTAACATTTTTTGGTAATAATTTATTACCGTACAAGTCATACACCATATAAGTCACACATTTAAAGTGTCAAATTAAATGGTTTTTAGTATATTCATGGGATTGTGCCATCATCACAGTCAAATTTAGAACACTTGTTACCCCCAACAAGAAACCTCATACGCTTTAGTAGTCACCCCACTATGGCCCCCAGTTTTCTAACCCCAGGCCCTAACAACCACTAACCTACTTTCTGTCTCTATGAATTTGCCTCTTTTGGCCATTTCATGTAAATGGAATTATACAGTATGTTACCTTTTGTGACTGGCTTCTTTCACTTAGCATAATGTTTTAAGGTCTACCTATATAAGAGTATATATCAGTACTTTATTCCTTTTTATGGCCAAATATTCCATTTTCTGGATATGTCAGATTTTATCTGTTCATCTGTTGATGAACATTTGGATTGTTTCCACTTTGTGCTATTATTATGAATAATGCTGCTATGAACATTCATGTATACATCATGTATACATTTTAATGTGGACATATGTTTTTAGTTATCTTGAGTATATACCTAGGAGTGGAATCATATATATATATATTTTTAAACCAAAATCAAATTTTAATGTTGCAGAATCCCTGAAGCACTTTTAGAAACTGTTCACTTCCATAGAACAGTTTGCAAATCAGTGTTAAAGTGGAGAGAGTGTTGATTTTTTTGTGCACGTATTTGGTAGACATCGTTTGAATCTTGATTTTATAGGCTGTGTGAATTTTGTCGAGTTACCTGTGAACATCTTTTTTTGAGTATCGAATGTTAGTACCTCTGGATGTTTTAGGAGTTGATAGACTGTATTATTGCTTAAAAAATTTACTGTCCATTTCTTACCATCAACTTTGGCCACGGATTTGCTTTGGCCAGTGGCCTGTGAGGGGAAGTGATGTGTGCCTTCTTCCAGGCAGAAGCTGGTGGTTTGCCTCATCTCTTTTCCTTTCTGCCATGATGACCATTGATGTTCCAGTTGGACACAGGCTTCATCAGCTTGTGTATCAGAATGAAAATGATGTGGGGCAGAGCCCTTATAGATTTTGTTGCATGGGTATGGAAAAAGCATCATTTTAAGCCATCGAGATTTGGTGACTATTTGATACTTTAGCACAGTGGTCCTCAAGCAATGGCAGTTTTGCAATTCTCACCCTGAGATATCTGGCAATGTCTGGAGACATTTTTTGGTTATCACATGTGGGGAAGTGCTCTTGGCATTTAGTGGGCGGATGCTGCTAAGCATCCAACACTGCACAGGACAGCTCCCACAACAAAGACTTATCCGATCCAAAATGTCAATAGTGCTGAAGTTTAGAAACCCTGCTTTAGTATAACCTAGTTTATCCTGATTACGGTAGGGTGTTGAGAAGATTAAATGGAAAAAAATATATAAAATACAGCAAACAGGGTGATCTTTTTTTGGTAATTATGTGACAGAGCTTGGCAATGGCTCTGAGGTCTTCCCTTGTATTTGTGGGTCTTTTCCAACTTCCCTAGGGTTCAGTATTCAGTTTAATTGTAGTTGTGTTTGTAAATCAAGGCTCATTTTTAGCAGAATCATGTACCCTTTAAAAAAGGGAGAGAACTAACATTAAATGCTTGTTTGGCACCATTTGTGTTTTGAATTTTTACAAATACTCTCTGAAACGGATATTCCTTACCTCCATTTTGTTTTGTTTTGTTTTGTTTTGCTTTGAGACAGGATCTCGCTGTGTTGCCCAGACTGGAGTGCAGTGGTGCGATCTTGTCTCACTGCAACCTCCACCTCCTGAATTCAAGCAATTCTCCTGCCTCAGCCTCCTGAGTAGCTGGGATTACAGGCGTGTGCCACCATGCCCAGCTAATGTTTTGTATTTTCAGTAGAGATGGGATTTTGCTATGT